AAGTTTTTAATTTTTCCAAAAAACTAATGTATTTATTGTACTACGTTACGCGCCTTAATAAAGCCAATTGTATTTTATACCCTCTTAACTGTTTGCACTTCTCACCAAAATTTGGTTTCGATCGCTCAATGTATCGCTATTTTAGATGATGTAACGGACGGACTAACGAAGTCACAGAATTTTATATATAGACTAGCCTAAAAGTCACTTTAGGCTAATTTCTGGAGAGGGCTTTTAGACCTTCGGATTTTTACCTTCAGCGTCCTATGTGCGTAAAATTTATAAAAAAATTAGAAATAATAAAATTATTTTATCTTTATTCGTCACTTTAATTCGGCATAATCTTTCTTCGTATACACAACCAATCTCCGTAGTTTGTTTATATTTATTTTACGCGCAATTTTTATTTTCTTTTAAAATCACCCTTCTTTATTGGCCCTTCAGATAAAGTCGCTTTTTAAAAGACATTAGAGAACCCCAACTATGTAATATTTCTAATACGTCACAGTACGAGTGCTAGAAAAAGAAAAAAATCATATGAGCAACGTACCGTGCCCTGTCTAAGTTTTAATTACTGTTTAATTAGATGACATCAATTGCAGTTGTGACGAAAAGGGAAATTAATGTTAAATATTTAATAATGAAGTGTTTTTTTTCAACTTTTTACTCTGTTCGATATTTGAATTTAATTTTAATTAGTTATTTATTTAATATTTAATCGCGTGTAACTACAGTAGTTATTACCTTGTAATATTTACATTATTCGGACTGTTATCCTCATCTTCACTGCCATATTCACAACGTTTCGGCCGTTGTACGCTCCGGCCTCCTTCGGGTAATTGGAATTTCGAAATAGAGGATTCTAATCACCAGAAGAAAGACGAAGCGTACAATGGCAATGAAGATGAGGATAACAGTCCGAATAATGTAAATAATGCAAGTAATCTTAATACCTCATCTCAGAGATATAGACAGCCATTATATCACTAGAAGCTGGTCACTGGATCTAACCAACATCGTTATCTACTGGACCATATGTCCTTGTGAATATGGCAATGAAGATGAGGATAACAGTTCGAATAATGTAAATAATGTAAGTAATCATAATACCTCATCTCAGAGATATAGACAGCCATTATATCACTAGAAGCTTGTCACTGGATCCAACCAACATCGTTATCTACTGGACCATATGTCCTTGTGAATATGGCAAAGAAGATGAGGATAACAGTTCGAATAATGTAAATAATGTAAGTAATCATAATACCTCATCTCAGATATATAGACAGCCATTATATCACTAGAAGCTGGTCACTAGATCTAACCAACATCTTTATCTACTGGACCATATGTCCTTGTGAATATGGCAATGAAGATGAGGATAACAGCCCGAATAATGTAGATGACACAAGTAATCATAATACCTCATCTCAGAGATATAGACAGCCATTATATCACTAGAAGCTAGTCACTGGATCTAACCAACGTCTTTATCCACTGGGCCATGTGTCCTTGTGAATATGGCAATGAAGATGAGGATAACAGTCCGAATAATGTAAATAATGTAAGTAATCTTAATACCTCATCTCAGAGATATAGACAGCCATTATATCACTAGAAGCTAGTCACTGGATCTAACCAACATCTTTATCTACTGGGCCATGTGTCCTTGTGAATATGGCATTGAAGATGAGGATAACAGTCCGAATAATGTAAATAATGTAAGTAATCATAAAACCTCATCTCAGAGATATAGACAGCCATTATATCACTAGAAGCTAGTCACTGGATCTAACCAACGTCTTTATCCACTGGGCGATGTGTCCTTGTGAATATGGCATTGAAGATGAGGATAACAGTCCGAATAATGTAAATAATGTAAGTAATCATAATATTTCATCTCAGAGATATAGACAGCCATTATATCACTAGAAGCTAGTCACTGGATCTAACCAACGTCTTTATCCACTGGGCTATGTGTCCTTGTGAATATGGCAATGAAGATGAGGATAACAGTCCGAATAATGTAAATAATGTAAGTAATCATAAAACCTCATATCATATAAACTAAGCAGTTAGTTATGAAGCACCAGTGTTCCGTCTTCACCTATTCTTCTGCTCTGAGCTGGATTTAGTTGCCAGAGACTATTTGAAACGTATTCCACGGAAGAATTCTATTGACAATGAGAACTTGTCCCCACTATCACCCCCCCCGCCCCAGCTGCGACAATCTTTGGAATATATATAATGTACGTATATAAACATTACATACATACGTGTTTTCGAAGTTCCAAAACATTTGACGTTTTTTCAAATATATAATAAAAGGTTAGATAAGAAAAACACTAAAAAGCAAAACAAATTACGAAATAGTGCATAAACAAACAAACAAACACAAATGTCAAAAATTTTGTTGATTTAAAAAAAAAAAATGGCAGAAACCAAAAATGGAAATATAAATTAGGATTTAAGCCTAAAATAATTGGAGATTATGAAGTCATTATTTAACATGCAACGGAATTATTTATACTGTCTTTTTAACAGAACTAACACCTAAACTATTATTTGATGAAAACGAACGAGAGTAGAAAAGGCAACGTTGATAATATAACTTTAGGTAATGAAAAACAAAATAAAAATAAGACAACTGATCTTCAGGGCTAGTTATAAAAACACAAATAAATACCATATCCTTGAGCTCAGAACGCCAATTATCTTATAGACTCAGGTATAAATTTGACCAATATTTACCTATAGTCTCAAGTATAAATTTGATAAAATATTTACCTGTAGACTAAAGTATAAATCTGACCAAAATATTCGTCTATAGACTCACAGATATATAGAAACAGATCTTTGAGGCGTATTCCATGGAAAAAAATCTATTGAAAGGGAGAGCTTGTCCCCACTATCACCCGAAGCTATCACAATCTTTGGAGTATATATAATGTACGTATATAAACATTACATACATATGTGTTTTAGAAATTCCAAAACATTTGATGGTTTTTCAGATATATAATAAAAGGTTAGGTCAACAAAAAATACACTAAAAAGCAAAACAAATTACAAAATAGTCGTAAATAAATAAACACAAACATTGAAAACTTTGTTGATTTTAAAAAAAGATAGCAGCAACCAAAAATAAAAATATTCTTTAGGATTTAAGCTTAAAATACTCGGAGATTATGAAGTCATTATTTAATATACAATAGAATTATTTATACTGCCTTTTTAATAATAAAATAAATATAACAAAACAAAGGAAAAATAAGACAAATGAACTTCAGGTTATTTGGACAAATAAAAACTAATACAGAAAAACACGGTAACTTTGGAAAAAGAAAAAGAAATAATAATATATAATACATATATAACATCAAATGAATATAATAATTATCATATATATAATAAATGAAATCAAATAAATAATAATTGCAAATTATATTAAATTATTATATTACATTTAAACAATATTGAATATCCTTTAACTTGGGATCTTCGACAAAATGCGTCGTCTCTCCTTGAGTTTAGAATATCTTATCTTATAAATCCGACAAATCTTGATTTAAAGGCTCTAGTATAAATCTGACCAATTTTTACCTATAGCCTCAAGTATAAATCTGACAAATCTTGACTTAAAGGCTCAAGTATAAATTTGACCAATTTTTACCTATAGTCTCAAGTATAAATCCGACAAATCTTGATTTAAAGGCTCCAGTATAAATTTGACCAATTTTTACCTATAGTCTCAAGTATAAATCTGACAAATCTTGACTTAAAGGCTCAAGTATAAATTTGACCAATTTTTACCTATAGTCTCAAGTATAAATCTGACAAATCTTGACTTAAAGGCTCAAGTATAAATTTGACCAATTTTTACTTATAGTCTCAAGTATAAATCCGACAAATCTTGATTTAAAGGCTCCAGTATAAATTTGACCAATTTTTACCTATAGCCTCAAGTATAAATCTGACAAATCTTGACTTAAAGGCTCAAGTATAAATTTGACCAATTTTTACCTATAGTCTCAAGTATAAATCCGACAAATCTTGATTTAAAGGCTCCAGTATAAATTTGACCAATTTTACCTATAGTCTCAAGTATAAATTTGACAAATCTTGACTTAAAGGCTCAAGTATAAATTTGACCAATTTTTACCTATAGTCTCAAGTATAAATCTGACAAATCTTGACTTAAAGGCTCAAGTATAAATTTGACCAATTTTTACTTATAGTCTCAAGTATAAACCGACAAATCTTGATTTAAAGGCTCAGTATAAATTTGACCAATTTTTACCTATAGCCTCAAGTATAAATCTGACAAATCTTGACTTAAAGGCTCAAGTATAAATTTGACCAATTTTTACTTATAGTCTCAAGTATAAATTCGACAAATCTTGATTTAAAGGCTCTAGTATAAATTTGACCAATTTTTACCTATAGCCTCAAGTATAAATCTGACAAATCTTGACTTAAAGGCTCAAGTATAAATTTGACCAATTTTTACCTATAGGCTCAAGTATAAACCTGACAAAATGTTTTCCTATAGGTTAAAGAATAAATCAGACCAATATTCACCTATAGACTCACAGATATATAGAAACAGATCGTACGTGCGTGTTAAGCCTCTAATGGCAGTGATTCTCAACCTCTCTCCCGTGGCACCCTATTGTGCAGACTTAACTGTGCCGCAAAATATTATTACGAAATTGCGAAAAACAAACAAACAGAGATTTCACACTAAATAAGCTGCACAAATAGTTGAATAGAACCATTGAAATAAAGTAAATTCATATGTGTGTGCATTTTTTTAATCTATGATTTTATTTCATAACATTTAAATGTATACGCTTTTAAAATGTTGCTAAGTGTGCTGTGCTATTTTCATTTGCGCCTAGGTGTGCCGTTGCTTAAAACACTTGAGAAACACTGCCATAACCTTAACCCTAACCCAGCCGTGATATTTTCGTTTGCTCCGAAGTGTGCTCTTGCTTAAAGTGGTTGAGAAATACTGCCATAATCTTAACCCTAACCCAGCCGTGATATTTTCATTTGCTTCTAGGTGTGCCCTTGCTTAAAGTGGTTGAGAAATACTGCCATAATCTTAACCCTAACCCAGCCGTGATATTTTCATTTGCGTCGAGGTGTGCCCTTGCTTAAAATGGTTGAGAAACACTGCCATAATCTTAACCCTAACCCAACCGTGATATTTTCATTTGCGCCGAGGAGTGCCCTTGCTTAAAATGGTTGAGAAACACTGCCATAATCTTAACCCTAACCCAACCGTGATATTTTCATTTGCGCCGAGGTGTGCCCTTGCTTAAAATGGTTGAGAAACACTACCATAATCTTAACCCTAACCAAACCGTGATATTTTCATTTGCGCCGAGGTGTGCCCTTGCTTAAAATGGTTGAGAAACACTGCCATAATCTTAACCCTAACCCAACCGTGATATTTTCATTTGCGCCGAGGTGTACCCTTGCTTAAAATGGTTGAGAAACACTGCCATAATCTTAACCCTAACCCAACCGTGATATTTTCATTTGCGCCGAGGTGTGCCCTTGCTTAAAATGGTTGAGAAACACTGCCATAATCTTAACCCTAACCCAACCGTGATATTTTCATTTGCGCCGAGGTGTGCCCTTGCTAAAAATGGTTGAGAAAGACTGCCATAATCTTAACCCTAACCCAACCGTGATATTTTCATTTGCGCCGAGGTGTGCCCTTGCTTAAAAATGGTTGAGAAACACTACCATAATCTTAACCCTAACCAAACCGTGATATTTTCATTTGCGCCGAGGTGTGCCCTTGCTTAAAAATGGTTGAGAAACACTGCCATAATCTTAACCCTATCCCAACCGTGATATTTTCATTTGCGCCGAGGTGTGCCCTTGCTTAAAATGGTTGAGAAACACTGCCATAATCTTAACCCTAACCCAACCGTGATATTTTCATTTGCGCCGAGGTGTGCCCTTGCTTAAAATGGTTGAGAAACACTGCCATAATCTTAACCCTAACCCAACCGTGATATTTTCATTTGCGCCGAGGTGTGCCCTTGCTTAAAATGGTTGAGAAACACTGCCATAATCTTAACCCTAACCCAACCGTGATATTTTCATTTGCGCCGAGGTGTGCCCTTTGCTTAAAATGGTTGAGAAACACTGCCATAATCTTAACCCTAACCCAACCGTGATATTTTCATTTGCGCCGAGGTGTGCCCTTGCTAAAAATGGTTGAGAAAGACTGCCATAATCTTAACCCTAACCCAACCGTGATATTTTCATTTGCGCCGAGGTGTGCCCTTGCTTAAAATGGTTGAGAAACACTGCCATAATCTTAACCCTAACCCAACCGTGATATTTTCATTTGCGCCGAGGTGTGCCCTTGCTTAAAATGGTTGAGAAACACTGCCATAATCTTAACCCTAACCCAACCGTGATATTTTCATTTGCGCTGAGGTATGCCCTTGCTTAAAATGGTTGAGAAACACTGCCATAATCTTAACCCTAACCCAACCGTGATATTTTCATTTGCGCCGAGGTGTGCCCTTGCTTAAAATGGTTGAGAAACACTGCCATCTTATAATCTTAACCCAACCCAACCGTGATATTTTCATTTGCGCCGAGGTGTGCCCTTGCTTAAAATGGTTGAGAAACACTGCCATAATCTTAACCCTAACCCAACCGTGATATTTTCATTTGCGCCGGTGTGCCATTGCTTAAAAAGCCTGAGAATAATATGCTGACAGTTACAATTTGAATAAATATTAGACTTTTTTTCAAATAATTCTTTTCACGATTTTTGATACATTTTGGATTTCAATAGAAAAGGATTATCCCACCTTAGCTAAAAACGCTTTATCAGATTTTTTTGTTTTTGTTCTTTTTTATTTTTGTTTTTTGCAATTTTCTATTTATGTGAATTAGGCTTCTCAACCCTAAATAACATCAAAAATAAGAAACGAGAAAGACTACGCTCAACTGAAGAAGAAATGGGGGTCTGCTTATCGCACATTCAAGCAAACATTGAAGAAATCGTGAAAAGACATCAGGAACAGATTTCATCCTAAATAAGCCTCACAAATAGTTGAATAGAAACATTGAAATAAAGTTAATATTTATGTGTATTTTTAAAATCTATGGTTTTATTTAGTGCCATTTAAATGTATACCCTTTAAAAATGTTGCTAAATGTGTCGTGATATTATCATTTGCTCCTAGATGTGCCGTCGCTTAAAAAAGCTGACAAACCCCGACTAACACACATATAGAAATAGATTTCAAGGTAAAATAACAACAAAGATATCCCGGCGAATCCACTGACTCTGACCTTTAACCTCCAGCTAAACTGTATGTCCTTAAACATTACCGAATATAAGAACCTGAAGATGGCCGAAGTGTAAAATGGCCGAAACACTGTAATTATAGCAACAAAGATGAGGATATCTATTCAGTCTGTAATTATGATTTGTTGACTGAAAACTTCAAACTAACCCTATTCGGATACTTAGAGAATCTACAATGCCAGTATACTTATTGAAGCCTCTTTTCCACTCGATTCCACGCCTGTGTGCATATTTGAACGTCCGTCAGCTTTCAGGCTTGTAGTGCAATCAATCCGAAACAGACATTGCAACCACCCATTTTGCACACTGTTTCTCGTATCCACCAGTAGATTCCTAGATATGAAACAGGACAAGTCTCACGCGACACACACATATCGCTAACTGCTATTAATTCCTATATTTTTCTGTCGGTCATTACCGCCGAATTATAAACTGGTTCACTCCACTCCCGAGAACGACCAAGGAACTCATTCTTCATTTCGGCAATCGCCCAGAACTCATCCATCACATTCTGACGACGTCTTCGGACAGCGGACCGTCCACGAAGACCCATAACACCACCTTTGGTGAGTGGACGTTGAGTTCCGAATAGAGACCGTCCCGTGTTTGGTCAGCACGGAAAGCGTGCAACACGAGAGAGACTCCTATTGTGTATTTCGTGACCGCGAGGCGATGGTAATAAGTCCGCGCATGCGTCACGGTGTTTGGCGGGAAATTTAGGAATGGCGGGAGAGAGAAAACGAGAGAGAAAGCCAGGAAACTGAATATGGTAAGAAGACGACGTTATAACGAAAGAGAAGAGAGCCAACGATGATTAAGAATTTTTATGACATTTATGATACTGCTGGGAGTGGGGCTGTTATTTAAACGAATTCGGCATTGCAGATTTTACACGAATACAAATGTACTATCGGTTATGCCATGAAAGCTTTTGAAACGCTAATATATACATTGGTTGTAGGGTACTTACCAACAGATTCAAACATCATCTTATACTTAAATTTATTCGAACTGTTATCGTAATCTTTCATTGTTATAGATATTTTGACAGACAAGTTTCTGACCATCTTCAGATGTTCACTGCGTTGGCTGCTTTGGGATATCTGTAGGTTATTTTATTATTTTTCTCCGTGTGGTGTCATTTCTTGTTTCTTCCTACTTAACATTTTTGTTTACTAATTCTTCACCTAATATAAGGCCAAAGAGCCACTCAAGGTAGAGGGTTACTGAATGAGGTTGTTGTATGAACGTAAGGATGAAGTAAGAAGGGTCGATTATGGGGATATGTAGGTTTATGATTGATTGATTCGTTTTGTACGGTTTATCAACCCTTTGCAGGTTATTTAAAGCCAGAAAATATTTTTAAATTGTAAACATTTTGGGGGAGATGACAATGGTTTAGTGATTAACCCATAACAAGGGGGAGAATCTGAATTTAATAAACAAACAAGAAATTATCATGTGGATATAAGGTGGGGGATCAATCCGATATTACAGTCGATTAATAAACGGATCCCTCACTTTGTGGCCGTGGTAATTTCTATACATTTCTATCCCAGAGAATGTAAATAAATCTAAAAGACATGACGGCAAGGAATTATAATGTGAATATAAAGTTGGGGATCAATTCTATATTACAATTAATATAAAAACTGATCCCTCACTTTTTGGCCACAACAGTTTCTCTACATTTATATTCGAGAGAATGTAAATAAATCTAAAACACATGCTTGTGTAGCTAATCAGGATGTCATTGAGTGGTTGATTCGTTTTTGACGGTTTATCAACCATTTAAGGGTTATTTAAAGCCAGAAAATAGTTTAGAACGTAAGCTAATCTGTTGTTACAAGGAATTGGTCTCTCGCTCAACTGCACCCCTCATATAATAATTAAGGGGGTTGCAGTCTAGTGAGTTAGGTGGCCAGATAAGGGATGATATCGTCGCAGAAATTGTCTGACAGCCATCACTGTGTTCTCCTGTTTGTGTGGCATGGTGCAGAGTCCTGTTGCCAGGCATAGAATCTTCCAGCAGACACCCTCTTGACCAGGGCAGCACTACATCTTCAAGTCATTTGATGCAGAACTCTGTGTTGAGTTTGAGGCCCTCACCACCAAATTCGGGAGTACTTTTCTTATCAGAAAAATCAGAGTGAGTTTTCCGAGCTGCCGTATCTTCGTAATCACTATTAGACTCATCCAACTCTTTCTGAATCCTCTGCACTGCCCTCAGATTGACACCGAAACAATCTGAAACGTTCGTATTGGAACTTCAGGCGTGAATGCCAAACAGTACAACATGCCATTTCCAAATTTCTGGCAGAGTGAATTGCGTCATGGTATCATTTTCTCACAGCCGGTGCCCAACTGACCCTACTATACTGTGTAGTCGACAAAATTAAAAAAAAAAAAAACAACGCGCATGCGCGAAACTAAAATATAAACTGGCGACAATTTACCCATCGCACACAGTAAATATATAGAAAATGCCGTGGCCACAAATTAAGGGATCAGTCTATATATTGCTTGTAATATAAAATTGATCACTTACTTTATATTCACATTATATTGTCTTGTTTGTTCATCAAATTCCGATTATGTATGAATCCACCTCTTCTCTCCCCAGGTATGGGTTAATTAGTGTATCAGCAAATCATTACTATTCTAAAAATTCTTACAATGTAAATGCATTTCCGGCTTTAAATAACCTACAAAGGGTTGATAAACCGTAAAAAAGAATCAATCAAATTTAATATATATATCTACTAAGACTGTGAAGTAAAGGATGCGCTCAGAGTGCGAACTGCAAATTGAAGACTCCCAAATCAAGCCAGTGTGACACTGAAATTCGAAGGCGTACTGGGATGGCGAAAGATGCTTTTCAAAACCTAAGCAGAGTACTGAGAAATAGAAAAACTTCGCTGGAAAGAAGGAAAAGAAAATCAAACTTTTACGTGATATATGTCCCCCAAGTGAACGATCTCCTCAATGATGTAGACGAGACTTGAAGCAAAAGAAATGTGGTTCTACAGAAGGATGCTGGGGATACCGTGGACCGAACAGCGACGAAGTTTTTGAGAAAATTTTTAACAAAAAGGAAATTTATACTTAGCAACAGAAAGAGACAATAGACATTTCTAGGGCACATTAAAGGAAAGAAGGCTTGGTAGATACGATACTCACAAGGCAGATTGAAGGCAAGGGAGATAAAGTAAAAAAAAACCCTACCTAATGAGTTTCAGTAATTGTGGAGGGCCATGATCGTCAATGTCCTGAAGGGACACGGCACATAGAAGAAGAAGAATGAGCTTGAGTAAATGAATGGCGGGACAAGGTTTAGGAGAGTTAACAAAAAGACTAAATTTATTAAGAGCTACAAAGGTGAGGAAATTGTGGAGGGCCATGATCGTCAATGTCCTGAAGGGACACGGCACATAGAAGAAGAAGAATGAGCTTGAGTAAATGGATGGCGGAACATGGTTTAGAAGAGATAACAAAAAGACAAAATTTATTAAGAGCTACAAAGGAGAGGAAATTGTGGAGAGCCATGATCGCCAACGTCCTGAAGGGACACGGCACATAGAAGAAGAAGAATGACCTTGAGTAAATGGATGGCGGAACAAGGTTTAAGAGAGATAACAAAAAGACAAAAAATATTAAGAGCTACAAAGGACAAGATGTTGTGGAGAGTCGTGATCATCTTGTCACCAGCGAAGCAAAGGGTAATAATTAATAATTAATTATTAATATTTCCACTGATTTCCTTCCGGGTCCCAACCAGAGACCTAAGCTCAGAAATGGCTTCATGACATTTTCCATTGAACATTTTTTTAAATAAAATAAAAAGCAAAAATCCCTAAGATCACATACATTTTCCATAGATAAAGCTCTTCGTAATGTGTGAACTGTACTTGTGAGTACATTTCTTTGCATTTCTTTAAGGCTTGAACTGCCAGGAATCCCTTCAATGAGTCTATTGGAACCTTTTTCCAATCAATCCGAGTGCTCCAACTACAACTGCAATTACTGATGTCCCCATGTAAAACATTTTTGAGATTTCCACTTCAAGATCTTTATATTTTGATAGTTTTTGGAAGATCTTCAAAGATACATTGCAGCCTACAGAGACCGCCATATCAATAAGGTGGCAAATTTTGTCTTTGCGGTCTCTAATAACGATGTCTGGGCGATTAGCTTTGATTTTTCTGTTCTGTGTGTATTGTAAAGTCCCATAAAATTGTTACAGGTCCTATCTCCCTAACCGGATCTGGGTGGTGTTCATACCAATTTCTTGCCGTTTCCTTACCATAAGTGTTACAGATTTTCCAGTGCAGATATTGGCCCAACCTGTTGTGTAGTGTTTTATATTATTATTATTATTATTATTATTATTATTATTATTATTGTTGTTGTTTTATTTCCTTTCGTTTCTGGTGTATACTCATTTCTTTCCGGGTCCCGACCAGAGACCTAAGGTCAGAAATGGCATCAAGACATTTTCCACTAAGTATTCTTTGTAAAAAAAAACAAAGATGACACACATTTTCCATAGATAGAACTCTTCGTAATGTGTGAGCTGTACTTGTGAGTACAATTTTTGGTATTTCTTTAACGCTTGGGGTGCCAAGAATCCCTTCGGTGAGTCTATCGGATCCTTTTTTAATAATCTGAGGGCTCCAACTACAACTGGAATTATTGATGTCCTTATTTGCCACATTTCTGACATTTCTACGTCACGGTACTATTATTATTATTATTATTATTATAGTAGTAGTAGTAGTAGTAGTAGTAGTAGTAGTAATATTTCCTTAGATTTCTGTTGTATACACATTTCATTCCGGGTCACGACCAAAGGTTATAAATGGCTTCATGACATTTTTCCACTGATCATTTTTATAAAAAACAAACTAAGATCAAGCACATTTTACATAGTTAAAGCTCTTTATAATATATGATCTTTACTTATGGGTACAATTGTCTTATATTTCTTTAAGGCAGAGTCCACCAGGAATTCCTTCAATGAGTCTATCGAAATCTTTTCCATTGAATCCGAAAGTTCCAAACACAACTGTAACCAGATCTGGTTAGTATTCATTTCTTGCCGTTTCTTTCCTGTAAAAGTCATGTCGAGTTTTATATTCAGTGGAGGCTATTACCGTGAAACCTAACAAAGGATGATCAATTATTTTGAGGATATTTATCACAGAATCTGCATTTCGGGTTGACACAATTTTTCAATTTTATTTCAATATAGTTTACATTATTTCATCTCCTTCAAATTATTATTATTATTATTATTATTATTATTATTATTATTATCTTTGATTTCTGGTGTATACACATTTCTTTCCGGGTCCCGCCAAGAGACCTAAGGTTAGAAATGGCATCATGACATTTTCTACTGAGCAATTAAAAAAAATACATACGCACATATATTCCATAGATAAAGTCCTTCGTAAAGTGTGAGCAGTAATCGTGAGAACATTTCTTTTGTATTCTTTTGTATAAGGCATGGGATAGCAGGAATCCTTTAAATGAGTCTATTGGATCCTTTTTCCAATCAATCCGAGTGCTCCAACTACAACTGCAATTACTGATGCCCCCATGTTGAATATTCTTGAGATTTCCACTTCAAGCTCCTTGTATTTTGATAGTTTTTTTGAAGATCTTAATAAATTAGAAAAATCCATTTCTTTAGAAATTGCTTTGTTTACGTTAGCCAACGAAAATAAGCAGATATGTCTATTTCAAGAGTCAGAAAAAAGCGGTGTTAAAAGCACATCAGAGCTAATGGCGGTTTTCCATTGGGGAACACAAGTTCAAATCCTGCCAGAGAGCGCATATTTTCTCTAAAAAGATTTCTCAAATATTCAGGCCGGGAGA